GTAGTAAGGGTTAACCTCACACTATGAAAGTGCTATGCTTCAGGGCAATCCAAGACACATAGTCTAAGACTCTCAGTGTGCAGTCAATAACGGTGTGGAGACGTGCCTGAGATTTTTTGCAGCAGTGGATTTGAAGCAAAATATTCACTATGTTGCACAATCAGGAAGGAGTACACTGTGGCAATAGTCTCTAGGGAACCAAAGATACACTTGCTGCTAACTGATGTAGCAAGATATGTAACAGATTATCTTAATGATAAAATGTCTGCATAATTAAGAACATGTAGCAAGATCTCACACCTGCCTCAGATTAAAAAGACACTATAGTCACCAAAACAACTTCAGCTTAAAGAAGCCGTTTTTGTGTGTAGACCATGTCTCTTAAGTTTCACTGCTCAATTCTTTGTCATTTAGAAGTTTAATCTCTTTGGTTAATGTTTATGCCGCCCTAGCCACACCTCCTCTGTCTGTGACTGACACTGCTCTGTAAATTGAGCATTAATCACACACAGAAGGCTCCTGAAAGGCTATTGTGTCCTTTTAAGTGGCCATATACACTGGTAACTACCCCTAAACGATCTCTAGAGTGCCTCCAGGGGCACGCACACAGGGATACCCTTATTGTGTCCAACACAAAATATTTAAAAAAATAACACTTAAAAATATTTAAAAAAAAAGATTTACAATTCAATATGCTTACCAATCCTAAATAGTTAATCTCAGTATAAGTATTCTCTAACATTGTTTTCTGTTTGTTAGGTCCATATATGGCAGCTATATAATTAACGGAGGAACTTCCTTCCTAAGCAGTGAATTCAATACTTGTGACCTGGAAATCAATTTATAGGACATAGAATGAAAAGAAAGAAAGATAAATATGTTATAACTGTTGCTTGGTTACATATAAAAAGGTGTTGGAGAGGGCACATAGTATCACATAAAGACTATATATATATATATATATATATATATATATATATTTACCAGAGTAAAATGCTCTCTGGTGACATGATGATAAAGTATATTTTACCTATGCAATGGCCTGCATGTGTTTGCAAATTAGATTTGTATTAGTTTAACAAGTAAATAGTAAATGTATCACACGTTTTGATGATACATGACAACAGACATGAGCTAAACGATCCCCTGTACTAACAGCTATGATTTCAAAAACAAACTGTAACGAAAACAGTTTGATAAAAACCAAATGGACTGCGCCTAACGATTCCATGCACAATAACCAATAAGCTGTAATAGGACATATATTTAACAGTAATAGTTAGGGTGCATAAAGTGTTTATTTAAAACACTTAGGCCTCGATTTATTTGTATTGGATACGCTTTCCAAATGATTTAAAGGATCACCATAGTGTCAGGAAAACAAAGCAAACTATAGTGCCCTGAGGGGGTTAAAACCCCTTCAGCAGCTTACCTTATTCCAGCGCCGTGCTCCCTCGGCGCTGGTGACCTCTCCTCCCCCGCCGACGTCAGCTCCCTCTGCCGTCAGTGGAGCCGAATCCAAGTGCCGCGGCGCATTCAAAGTGTCCATAGGAAAGCATTTCTCAATGCTTTCCTATGGATGCTCTGTGCGATGGAGGCATAATATGCCTCCAACGTTGCAGATGCGCCTCTAGTGGCTGTCTAGAAGACAGCCACTAGAGGCTGGCTTAACACCAAATGTAAGCATAGCAGTTTCTCTGAAACTGCTATGTTTGCATTTGAAGGGTTAAAACCTAAGGGACCTGGCACCCAGACCACTTCATTGAGCTGAAGTGGTCTGGGTGACTATAGTGTCCCTTTAATATTTTTGGATAAACTTGGTTGAACTTTTAAAATAATGTTGTTCAACTTATTGAAACACCAAAAAATATATCATCCCTAGAAAAATATATAATTATTTTAGAACATATCAAAATATTACAAAATTACAATATTTTTTATAGTAATAAATCATTTAAAAGGTTTATTCAAAAATATTAAAGGGACACTGTCGGCACCCAGACCACTTCTGCTAAATGAATTGGTCTGGGTGTCCCTTTTTGCACCTAGTTCTGCAATGTTAAACATTGCAGTTTTAGAGAAACTGCAATGTTTACATTGTAGCTCTAAGTCTGCCCTCAGTGACTGTCTACCAAACAGCCATAAGAGGGCTTTCGGAATCCAAACTGACCTCTGGTCCATTATCTGACGCTGGACGTCCTCACACTGTGCATGGGGAAATCCTAATGTGAGCGCGGCCATTGTCTCACCCAGAGCTGAGGGATATCATTGCTGAATTCAGGTAAGTGAGTCAAATCAAGGCCATAGCCAGTATTAAATCAAGGCCATAGTCAGGGTTTTATATTAAAGTGAGTATTATCAAGAAGGTGAATTCAAAGCAAGTTTAAAATTTTAGACCAAAATAGACAAACCTGATGTATAGCTGACGTATGGTGGAATATTTCAAATTCGGCTATTTTTGCCTTGGATTTGACATTTACTTTGAATTCTGGTATCTCTGCCAGTGTATCTTTATATGCAGCTCACTGTTTCATGTTAGTGTTCTGCCCCATAAGAAATCCATCAACATTGAGCATGACATTATTAAATCAGCAGACCTCTCACTTTAACCTATAATTTACAATCAATTTACCAGTCCTTTCTCCATAATACCCAGTTTTGAAAATGAACCCCAGGAGTGATAACAACAATAGTAAATAGCAATCTTATTGTCACTGGAATTATTGTCTGGAATGTCACTGTAGCCAAAATGATATTGCTGAAACCAGAAATGATACACCAACAGCACAGTAATGCATGAAATGGCATTAACCTTTAACACGTGGGGTTTCCAAATAACCACATATTCATTAATCATTGAGACATATTTTATGTTCTTGGCCCTTAACAGTGTTGAAGATCCATCTATGTACAGACGCTTGTTGAAAAGTAATTGAACAGGCGCAATTTCACAAGAATTGTCCTCAAGGGTTTGGTGGGAATTGTACAAACATCATAGTTCAGAATGAATGAGAATTAAAAGCGTTGTAACACGTTGGTGTAAAAATAGGGATTTGAGAATAACACTTAATAAAAAAAAAAGAAAAGGAATTGGTGTTATATTGCCCTGTTTTTTTTTTTTTTAAGTAAGAAAAATAAATATATATATATATATATAATAAAAATAAAATATTTAATAAAATGCAACAGAATTCCTTTTAGCAGTGTTGTTTTGTATGAAGTATGAACTCTTTGAACCAATGAAAAGTAATTAACAATCAACAATGGTAGGGGCTAGATTGCTATAATGGAATTGTGCCATCTTTGGTCCTTAAGAAGTTAAATATTTATATTTACTGATGTTTTACAAGATATCACAAAAAAAAAAAAAAACAAGCATAGAAGAGGCATACAATATAACATTTACCTTAATCCTATTTAACACTCATTATTTTCTGACTAGAGCTGCAGTAGATTTTTTTTCCTAAAAATTGTATGCAAATCAACAGCAAAAATAAAATAAAAATTAAAACATATTTCTAAGTAGCGAAATCCAAAGCATACATGTAGTCAACAATGACTGCTTTGGAAATTTCAATTCCCTAGCATTTAGAAGGGATTAATTATGTACAGTACAGCGCAGATGTTTCCATCAATTCACTAATTTAATCTGGTATAATTATTCATAGGAAAATAGTAAATATGGTTAGATTTAAGTATTCTGAAAGAGGAAAAACAAGCACTTTACTTAGGGACGCGTATATAAAGCACATTGGGGAAAAATTAATTTGAAGTGCAGATTTTTTTTTCCTTCCCTGGATTATTCTATAGAACCCAGGTGCTAGAGAGATAATTTATATAACAATCTATAGCCTCTTCATAGAAAGACAAATGTAATTAATCTTGTGGTCATTACACAGTGCGGCAGTGTTAATGCTTATCTGTTCTATTGGGCAGGAACAAGGACCCCCAAAATAAGTATATGAACTTCACGGGTGTGATATTTCTTACCATCTGTAGCTAATAGTATTGTGTATTCGGGTTTTACTGCTCATTTTCAATTTTTCCCTTATTGGTTATTTCATTCCACTTGATCTGTGATCAAAAAGTAATTTATTCACATTTTATACACAGCCTGCTTCACTATTGAGGGAACTGGCCTGTGTTTTGCTATTGGCTGACCTAGACTGGACTGTACATGTGCAATTTGTAATGTCCATGTGTAATCTGCACTGTGCATGCGCAATCTGCTGCTCTGCACTCTCCAGAGAAAAGAGAGATAAACTTTGCTAATAATTATAAATGCGCAGTTCCTAACACCCTATTCTTTTCCATCCAACACAGTAACAGCTCAATCTGTTAAAGCCCCAAATTGTGCAATGTGAAGTAGTATCAAAATTACAACAGGAATGTGATTGCAGTTGTTATTTACTAGGTGGCATTTTGGTTTCACGGATATCAAAAATACATAGCAGGTGAATGAGTTTATTAAGACAAGTAACTGTGGAATGCAGCAGTGCATAGTGTTTAACAGAAGAAGATTTATATTAGTGTGACAGATTATATTTTCTGTTGTATTTAAAATTTGGAGACATAGCTGCTCTAGTTTGAGATAATGACACTAATGAAATGACATTTATACACTCCAGGCTTATACTTTTATCTAAAAAGGGGTTAAGGACTAGCAGGTTATCTTGGCAAGTGTATATTTAGAAACAGATGGAGAAAAAAAGCTGTAATAGCAGAAGTCTTAATGATATGACCTGACTGTTTAAAATGATGAAAGAAAAGTTCGCATTTAGAGGTTTCATAGAAAAATGAATTAAATAAAAAATAAACAAACATGAATGGACAGAAGGACAAACGGATAGGTAGATATACACACACAAAAACAGGACATGGATAAAATGAGGGCCAGGCTGGGAATAAAAAGAATTCCACCCCAGCACACTCTTCTTTGCTTGCAACCCCACAGTCCCCCAACCTGCAAGACAATTTACTCGATAGTCATATAGTGAAGCTTTAAACCAGGCCTGTCCAACCTGCGGCCCTCCCAGGTGTTGCTGAACTACAACTCCCATGATTCTTTCAATAAAACAGATAACATGGGAGTTGTAGTTCAGCAACATCTAGAGGGCCGCGAGTTGGACAGCCCTGCTTTAAACAAATACATTAGTAATGACAGATATGCCTGTTACTGTAATGGCCCACGTAGTAGTTGAGGGGGCTTGTGGGTAAGGGGTGTAAATCAAGGAAGTTACATTCCTACGCTTCAGATAGTCACTAATATTATACCTTTCATAACCCCTAAGCCTAATTACTCTAAAACTAAATACCCCCAATCCATAAACCTCATAACCTTGATATAATCTGTAGAACAGTCATTTTAAAATGTTAAGTAATGGAGCTGTATTTTTTATAATGTCACAAAAGTTTATAGTCCATTTAGTCTATGATCATCCACACTATTCACAGTCCTCAGACCATCCCTCCTCTTCATGATTCCCCCAACTGCCCATAAGCAGGTTTCTTTCATCATACCAACTCCCTTAGTTCCCTTATTCTCCATATCCTTCTCTGCTCCATCATTAAACATATCCCCCTCTCCCTTTCCTTTACAGTCTCTTTACACAATTAGATTCAAAATTTTCAAATAAAAACATTCTAATCCATTACCCACTTTTTCTGTATTCCCTCATGAAGTCTAATTAGTCCATTAGTCCTCTATTCCCCAACAGCCTCTGCTAACCATATTCAGTTATTCTCTTCCTTAATAAACCGAGTCCACTCCATCCAACCCCCCTTTGTGATATCTGCCTGCCCTTGATGGTGTTCCTGCATAGGAACTCATACAGAATTCAGGGTAAATGGTGACTGGAGAGGGACTGAGACTGAAGGCTACAAGACCCTCTTCAAGGTCATCTCAGCAGGCAGCTCACAAGCACCCTCTAATGGGAGATATTGCTTCAGGCTGAGGAAAGACAAATATGAGCATTCTGTTTGGCATTGAATTGTTTAAAAAATTGGTAAAAATAAAACAGGTGGACTTCTTGCTGAAATTGCAACATGTGTTTTGCATCTAGAGGGAAGATTTTATGTGTGTAAAAATTAAACAATCCGGTCATCAAACTTACACCAATAGAAGGCAGCTATTGAGAAATACCCCAGTATAATGGTCACCCAGCCTTGAAACAAGGAATGAAAAAAAGATTAATCTTGTGAAAATAATGTTTTTATTTACTGGACTGCTCCATATGATTCCTACTTTGGGATATACTGTTCCTCTATCAGACCCTCTTTACACTACAGACAGTGTTTTTCTGGGCTTTAATGCATCCGTTCTTTGTTACATTTCATAATCATTTAAGAAAAGCTTTTAACCCGGTGAATGCAGATATAAACTAATCATGCCTCTCCCTCCTACACAGCCTAACCTCAGCCAGGATAGCATACAGGACAATAGATTCAACAACTCATTCTTCCAGCCATATTCAGAATGTTTACAGAAGTGGTAAAATGTTCCTTCAACAGCCTTAGACTACATGCAGTTCATGATAATGTAGGGATGTACATACTGGCTCTCGAGAGTGGGTGGACAACTGGAAATCACTTATCTCTTTGAGAAATATTTATGTTATAAGAAACAATAATATACAGGAAAACAGCATCACACACAAGCAGAGCAGGATGTAGAAAGAGTCCTATCACATTCTTGTACATATAAGGTGCTATTTCAAATATAGCTATTATCCTCGACTCTTTTACTTTAGCATAAATTGCATCTAGACCAATGTGTAGCACCTAGAATCTCTTGAAAATTCACCTACGCCAACTGCAGGCACTGATAATGTAAGAAAAGAATCTTGTAATTGGTCAACAAATTCCTTATTTTACCCTTGATGTTTCTTCATTCACAAAACAAGCATACAATACTATCTCACTACCAGGTATACAGGAGCACAGGGTGCCTTGCATGTGACTTGCAGCATTTGGGAAGCATGATAACACTTCCTGCACCTTCAAGCTATTTTAAGAAAGTGTTTCACAATGAACATCTAACAGGCTCTACCTTGTGATTTCTTACAACGTAAATGTGACTGACAATGTGTGTTTCACTGATGAAGATTCAACGTTATCAGAATACACTTGAATGATCACACTAAACATTATTTTTTTTTCTTAATCAATGAAGCAGAATTACTGATCAGCTGTCAGAGGAGCTATTTCATATCTGTGTGCATCTTTAAACTTGTGTCTTGGACAGGTTTACAAAAATGTTTTAATATGAAGAAAAAAAATGTTATGTTCTCTCTTATAATATTTTGTGCTTTGAAAGAGTGTTTTGCAAAATGCAAAAACAAAAAACAAAACAAAACCATACATTTAAAGAGAATTAATGATAATCAATTATTTTTTTTCATGTTATTAAATGGTATCGGATGCAATCCGTGATATTGAGTAAAGCAAGAGTTTTTATTTTTTTGTTTTAGTATGCTTGTTTGGCACATTACAGAATGCCAAAAAAGTCAACTTCATGTGACAGAATTCCCTGCAAAAACTTGAATTCTCTCATATATACTTTAATCCCCCAAGCAATTAATTAGAACATTCAGGCTCCTATATTGCTATATTCTTCATAATGTCCCATTTGTATGATATTGCCTCTATATATAATGCCACATTTGTGGTCACATTATCTCCATGAATTGCCTCATACACCCTGTCACAATGTCCCCGTACATCATGCACCATAAATATTGTCCTATACGTTGTACCTACGTTGCCATGGAATTGTCCAAATTACCTGTACATTATGTCATGTTCCCCATGTGGACACATAGACCTGCACATAAACAAACACAGACAGATAAACACATATAAACACACAAATACACAAAGACATAAATACACAAGATTAGAATTATCTCTCAAGGAATTGACCACAAAGAGATGGTCTTACCAAACAGAGAGGGGGTATCGGCGTTTAGAGCTTCTACAGAGACTGATAATCGAATTTACAGTGCTGATTTTGCAGGTGGGGTTGCACTGTTAGAGAAAAAATGTAATTCTGCAGAACCCAAGACCGGTAATTTCTTGGGGTTCCCCCTTTGTTCTTCATATAAGGATGGTGAATAGGGCAATCAAATTTATGTCTCAAGGCCTCCTGTCCATCGGCGGCTGACTATGCTCACCTTTAGTTCATTCTGCTCTGTTGCTGTACACAAAAAGCTTACCTTGTGTCTACTTGCAGTGCTGTGACTCCAAATTTGCACTACACGCTGCCTATAGAGACTACTATTATAATACTATTCAACTATTCTTGGCAGGTATCTTTTACACTATCAGTTTGCCTATTTAGTAATCTAGAGCTGCACTGTGTATAGCTTTATGCTGTGATTCACTGAAATATTGATGCATTCTTTTCAGACGGCAATTATTTTGATTGTTGTGTAGTGCTCTCTAAAGAATGTTGTTTGTTAAATTAGTAAACAGTGTGGCAGTGTTAACACTGAGATACAGTATTACTAAAGAATAAAAAAAGATTTGCTCCAAATAAATGCTGCAAAATCTGAACATTTTCATTCCAAAAGCAATCATCTTATAACTGTTTGTTCTGATAATGAACATCATCTGTATCTTTTTAATAACCAACAAAAACCAAACTGACTGTCTATCAAAACCTAAACCGCAATATGAATTCCACTCAGCTTGATAACTGTACCCTTAAACCCATTAGAGACTGAAACCCATTAGAGACTGAGATTCACATAAAAGTATTGAAGAAAAAGGAGTCTCATATTAGATCATTTACTTAGAGAATCTGATATCCCATAATGCGTGGCTTTATACTGCTCTGAGACATTAAATAGCAATAAAATATAGTAGCAGAAATAATAAGTGTCACTGCTACTTTCTCTACTGTAACCAGAAGCCTACTGGTTACACACGGATGAGATTAAGATCATACCTTAATTCCTATGGCCTATCTTTCAATTTCCTCTAAAATAAAAAATTATTGCGAAGTTGAAGCACTGCAGAAGCTGGGAAGAATATACATTTACAGATTGTACTTTGTTTTGTTAAATTGTTAAAAGCAAACCACCAAACAGCTTCATATGGTTCGAGATATGCTGAAGATAACTGAAAGATCACAAAAGTACAGAGATGTAATATCAACCTCGGGCATTTGACCAGTACTCGATCTGTACTTGCTGGAAAGGGCAGCGTACGAACATTCCATATTCCGCCAACAAAATAATTAAGGAACTTCATTTTCCCTTCTTTTAACCTCTCCAATATCACACTCATGAAGAACATAATACATTTTAGCATGGTTCATTGCTCAGCACATCTCCTTTTATGTTGTTAATTATAAATTTCCTTTGCCATGGAAGCTTGGCATTTTTTCAGCAAGGTCCTTCTCCAACAATCTTCTCTCGCTGAAAAGCGTTTATGTCACATAGTGGACATCTATTTGGTCTACTGTACAATTATGTTAAACAGCATGTTAGCGCTAGATCATAAAAGGACAAAGTAATTACTCTGTTAAAAATGTAAACTAAACATTAAATTCACTTAATTGCTTGTCTCGTGGCGGCCAAAGTCTATGGGTTTATTTCAAGATTTTCATTCTCAACTTGCGGCCACTAACTGGAGTTTATTATTATGAAACAATGCAGAAAATGCACAATACGAACAAACCAGATGACTGGTTTTAGAACCTGTGCAAAAACAACAGCAACAGCAAATGAAATGCAGTGGTATAAATTGATAGTTTGTTTTCAATATGTCTCAGTAGTAATAAATAAATGCGCATGTATTAAAGATAATAAAACAGCTCCTTGCTCGAGGAGATAATTGCTAAAATACAGTTTTTTGCATCTTATATTTATAAAAAAGAAATGAACCAGTAATTCTGTTTTGGACAAAATTGTTTCCACTTTTCTGTGCAGTGCGGTATTCCGTGTCAATCCATTGAAAAGCTTTGTTGATTATTCTCGTTGGAAATTGCCACCTGGGGCACACATTATCCAGATAGTTTTCTTCCAGGACAGTTTTAAAGATTACAAATAGCGCAAACTACAAACTCTGTGAAATGTGATTTAATTGAGACATTTTTCATGAAACATTCATGGTTGAAAACATTCAGTTTAAAGATAGGGA